ACAATGGTGGGTCTTGACCAGCCTTGGAGTCCTCCTGTCAAAAGCTGCCTTGGGGGGTAGAGCAAGCACACCATGTGTTTCAGTTCAGGGGTCTTCACGGGCTTTCCCTCATCTGCGCTTCGGCTTCATTGTTCCCTGTCTTGCTTCCCCACCACCCTCCAGACCCTTGCACTCAGCATGATTCTGTTAATATTGAACCAGTTTGCTACTCCTTGAAGGAGCTCTACTCTGCTTGGCTTCAGACAGTCTCACAAGCTGTTTTCTTCTCCAGGAATGTCCTTCATCCAACTTTTTGGGTAATTCCTACTGTCTGTCTGTGTTTAGAGGTGATGTCCTCTAGAAAGCTTTGGCTGGCCTTCACCTTTTCATTCATGTCTAGTTGCATCTTCCCATTCAGTACGGGCCCAAATCTTTCCAAACACTTGAGATCACTTACATGTGCTGCCTATTAATCATGTTAGACTATAAGCTTCTTTTTTAAAGATTTATTTTATTGAAGTATAGTTGATTCACATGGTTAAATTCTGCTGTATAGCAAAGTGATTCAGTTATACATACACACACACATATATTCTTTTTCACTATGATTTGTTACAGTTCCCTGTGCTAAGCAGTAGGCCCTTGTTGTTTATATGTCCTAAAAGGACAGTTTGCATCTGCTAATCCCAAATTCCCAATCCATGCTTCCCCTATCCCCCTTCCCCTTGGTAACCAAAAGTCTGCTGTCTACGTCTGTGAGCCTGTTTCATAGATAAGTTCATTTGTGTTGTATTTTGGATTAGACATAAAAGTGATATCATATAGTATTTGTCTTTTTCTTTCTGATTTACTTCACTTAGTATGATAATTGCTAGGTCCATCCATGTTGCGGCAAATGGCATCATTTCATTCTGTTTTTATGGCTGAGTAGATTATAAGCTTCTTGAGTGCAGAGAGTGTGTCTAATTTATAGGCTAAATGAGACATGAGAGACTAGCCTCTAGTAAAATACAGGTTTGGTGGCAGAAAGGAGGATTAAATGAATGGATGAGCAGGTTGGCAGAAATGCCCACAGTGGTGACTGGAATGGAGAAGGAAGGTTCACCAATATTTGTGGAGCTTGTTGTGTGCTTGGCCCCGTGCACTGAGAAAAAGTCCTTCTGTCGAATGGAAGTGAAAATTTACAATAAGCAGAGGCAGATGATAAGATAAACGTATGGAGAGGTGCTCGAGTTCCAATGAGAGACGCTGCCGCATCTTGTGTGTGGGGTGAGGGTTGGCAGTGAGAAGTGATGTCGAAGTAGAGATCTAAAAGATAAACAGAAATTATCCAGGAAAAGACAGTCAGAGGGAGTAGTCCATGTTGGAGGAACAGTATTTGCAAAGGATTGGGGACAAGCAACAGAAGTTCACCTCTGGACCATAGGGTCCACGTAAATAAGAGCCAGAAAATTGAGGCACTTGAAACTCATGTAGAAGACTTTAGACTTTATCTTGGGGGGCAGTGAGGAACCAGGAGATCTTAGGTTTGAAAGTAAAATGATGACACTTACATTCTAAGTAGATCTTGAACTTTTTGAGTAGGCTTAATATATTCTCAGGGCTTCCCAGGTGGTACTAGTGGTAAAGAACCTGTCTGCTAACGCAGGAGACATAAGAGATGCAGGTTTATCCCTGGGTTACGAAGATCCCCTGGAGGAGGGCATGGAAACCCACTCCAGTATTCTTGCCTCGAGAAGCCTGTGGACAGAGGAGACTGGTGGGCTACGGCCCATGGGGTCACAAAGAGGTGGACATGACTGGAGGGACTTAGCACAGCATAGCACAACATACTCTCAGCCAGGCATGAGGACACAGTGTCATTCTTGCCTACCTGTTTGTGGATGACACCTTTTTGACATCTGCTTACAATACAAATTGCAAAGTATCTTTCACGTCCAGTAGGAGGAGCCAAAGGCTCCAAGTTCTTCCCCAGAACTGGGCACCCTCAGATGCGTTAGGAGCTGTTTACTTCAGCACCTCTCATTACTTAGAAGTGGCTCAAAGTGGAAGAATGACAGAAAAACTCAAGAATTTTTCCAGTTTTTCCTGGAATGGAAAGGTCATGGTGAAGAAGAAACTTAATACTTTTTGGATGAATAGCATAATAGCATGCTATATTGATCTTTACTCAAATTTTGTTTTAAATTGTAATGAATGTCTGCCCACTCATATTAAGCTTTCATAATCCATGGAGCAATACAGCACCAGTGAGTCATTCCTGACACTCATCGCTAATACACCTAAGCTTATTTCTACTCCAAAATAAATAAGTTGGAGTCGACTCAGACTGACCTTAATTTGGAGATAGTTGTGAATGTTTTATTTCATTTCCAATGGAAAAATATATATTAAAAAGTAATAAAGCATCCAAAGATCACCCGTTTTAATGAAACAAAAGCCAGTGTTTCTGCCTTCTGCAATAAAAATGAAGGAGCAATGGAGAAACAATTCCTCTTGGTGCATTTGCACAAAACATTATATTTCAACAGAACTTCCCATTAACTGCCATTTATTTCTTCTCTCATTATTGATAATTTGCTTTTAAATTGAGAATACCTCTTTTACAACCCATCTCATCTCCCTGCACGGCTAGACAATTACATTGAAATTCGGTGGTTTTCCCATTGTAAACAGTTTCTGGGGAAAATGATTATGATGTTACTAAGCCAGATTTATGGCTTCACTGTGCTATCACTAACAGATAAGAAACTAGTATAGTATAAAGAAAAAAAAAAGTTGTTTATATACAAATACATTCTCATCAAAGAGAGTCCTCCGGATGCATATAGTGAAACCAACCAGAATCACAAAATCACCTACTAGGGCAGTGAGAATGATGTCTTTCTGGATTTTGCAAAGGTATTTTTGTTGCTTTTTTGAAAAATTCAGTTGTAGGTAGAAGCTCCCTTTCTTTATTTTATTCTAATGTCAGAAGAAATCCTAGCCAGACAGTATTTCAGGGTAACTCTGACAAGTCTACTATGCAGTAACCACTTAGGAAATACACATGATACAAAGCAATACGTGTAACATGGTCCCTGCTTTTGGAAATCTTACAGTTAGTTCTGCTTGGAGAGGAGCCATGGTTCAAGTGCAAAATAATCAAAGGATAGAGCAGGGAGATGAACGGTGAGCCTGCACGTGGGTGCTCAAGGCTGGAACCTGGATTTGCCGAATCCCACCTGCCCCTCACAAGGCAGCGCAGTGCAGTGGTCCACCCCAAGAAAGCAGGTCTTGCCCAAATGCTGGGGTTCTTGCCAGTTCTGTGACCTTGGGCAAACTAAAACTTTGTGTACTTCTAACTTTCGTGTACAATTTGATCACCGTTTTAGGTGTTTATCAAAAAGCAAAAATCTGAATGTCTGGCTCTGTGAGTCCAGGGTCAGCTCAGGAAAGAAGCAGAGCTGCCGCCTTAGCCCCTCTAAGCCTGTTTTCTCCTCTGTGAGTTGGGCAGGCCCACGGCACCTACTTCATCTAGGTGTTGAGAAAGTTCAGTGTCCATACCTCGGATAGTATGTGGTGAGAGTGAGCGCTCACTGAGAGGGAGGACTAAGGGAGGCGTCCCAGGGCTTGGGACAGGCAACTGCTGAGAGAGCAGTCTCTGGACGACCCCTCTAGAGCAGGACGAGGGGCCAGTAAGAGGCCAGGGAGGGGTGGCCCAGGCCAGCGCACACCCACTGCTTGCCTGGTGACCGTGGGGCCTGGATAAATTCAAGCATCTCGGATCTGGCTCCACCTCTCCCCGGCCTCAAAATTTCCCAGACCAGAAGCGAATGGGGCAAGACACCTCCTCCACTTAGCATTTCCATAGGGGATCCGTCCACTCACCCTGATAGGCAGGGGTGGAGAGGGGCGCTGGTGCTGTGAGTGAGTCCACTTTGGGACCAGGACTGGGGGATGCCAAAGACCCAGGCTCACGACCCCACTTCCAACTCTCACCCCTTCACCCCAGGAGCCCGAGGCCCTGGGTAGCACGCGTCTCCACCGGCACGCTGGAATACGGGTCTGCCAGCTTGACCGTCGCCGCGGCGGTGCGGGCCAGGGGACCGGGGAGGGGGCGCTCCCGCGCGCTCGGGCTTATTTTTGGCTCCGCAGCCGCTCGGCGCCTGTCGCGCGCGCTCACACACACACATACACACACGCACACAGACACGCGCGCACACGCACACACATATGCACACATTTTTCTCGCTCTCTCTCTCGCCCTCCTTTGTTTATTTCCTAATCCATATTTTTATTTGAAGCTCTCCTCTTGACTCTCTGCCGCCCGCCTGCCGGCGCTCTCGCGGGCCAACCCGGTGCACACCGCTCCCCTCCGTCACCCCAGCCCTCCTCCCGGTCTCCCCGAGCGCGGGGTTTGAAGGTCACCTCCTTTCCAGTCCCTCTGCGAGACGCGCCGCCACCGCCTCCTCTAGCCGGAGCCGTGGCACAGGCTACGCTGCCTGGAAGTGGTGCTCCAGCCTCGGCGGCGGCGGCGGCGGCGGCGTACGGAACCCGGGGTCCGCGCCGGGTGGGGAAGCCCGAACTCGCCGAGGGGAATCCCTCCCGCTTTACCCCGGCCCCCGGCGGCCCCCGCGGAGGGGCGGGGGCGCTCTACCAGCCCGCGGTCGGCGGAGGCAGCGGCCGCGGCCAGACCCACGCGCGCACAGCTCCGGGGCAGGGGAGGAGGAAGGAGCCAGCGGGGCACCCCGCATCTGGAGGGGGACGGCCGCGCGCCCCGCCCCTGCGCCCGGAGCGCGAGAACTCCGAGCCTCCTCCCGGGCAGAGCGCGGAGGAGCGGACTGCGCGCCCCGGGACTGGGGGACCTGGCGCTCCGCACGCCTGGTAGTGATCACCTCGGCCCAGCGGTCGTGACCCGCGCCGCGAGCAGCTGCGCCCAGCCTGCCGCCCAGGCAGGGGCGCCAGGGCGGGGCTGACCTGCAAGCAAAGTTGCGGCCGGCGTGGAAGAAGCCCGCACCCCCTTTCGCCATCTCCAGCTCATGGTGAGTGTGGCTGAGGGGGCCGAGAGCGCGGGGGAATCGGAGGGTCTGGGGCCCAGCGGAAGGCGACCGGAGCCGGGCGCGGCAGGAGTTCTAGGTAAGTCAGGGCGGAGCCACCGCCTCCGTGTCCCCCACCCCCCCACCCCCACCCCCAGCTGACCAGAGGGTCCCACCGAGGGGAGAGCTGACTCCTCAAGCACGGGCTTCCTCCTAGGGCCAGGCTGGGCGTGCTAGACTGGGAACTTTCTCAGTGCGTTGGAGAGATTTCCCGGCACGTCCTCCCCGGCGTCTGAGATCAGGACCCCTCCGGCCCCCGCGTCCTTCCAGACGCACGCCCTTGCTCGCCTCGAAGCTCCGCTCCGGAGCGCCCCGGCTGCCCCGGCCGTCCTCCTGGGAGCGAGCGCAGGTGCAGCGAGCAGAGGGGATCGGCCTGCGCACTTTGCTTAGGTTTCCCGGCCGGCTGCGAGGGGGCCCTCGGTGCGCCCCGGGGCGCTGTCTGTTCACCGCCCTTCGCCACGTCCGGGGGAGAAGGCACTCTGTGGCCTGGGAGGGCGTTTGGAAGCACCGAATCCCTTCTGGGAGGCGGGAAGCGGAGGGTCGCTGCGCTGGAGTGAGAGTGTGTGTTCATGGACTCCGGGAGGGACGCCCCCAAATGTCTCTGCCTTCGACCCTGGGTGATGGGGAAGGGAAGGGGGCGCCAGCCTGGGAACTCAGGACTTGGAAACTCCGGCTGCGCCCCTTGGTTCCTTTGGTGCTGTAGGGCACCTTCACTCTGGGAAGGAAACCCAGGAGCAGTTCTCCGGGAAGGCCAGGGTTGCCCCTTGTCGGCCCCAGTTTCCCAGCTCTCCAGGGTTAGAAGGTCAGGAGAGGGCTGACGAGTTTCTACTCCCACCTCGCAGCTGCGCGGGGAGCCAGCCGGCTGAGATGGTCCCGGAGCCTTCAAGGTCTTAGCTCCAAGAGAACAGGCCAGCCCGGAAGTTGCCCACGCGGAAAGGGCGGGGAAGACCCGACCCACCCTGGCCCGGGAGCCGCCAACTCCATTCTCTGCTTCTAGGAAACAGGGGGCTTCTCCTTTCTGCTTCTGCCCGGGCTAGGGCAGAGGTGCTTCTGCGGGACTTGTGGGGCGGGGTTGCTTGTAAATGCGAGCCTGGCAGTCCGGAGAACTGAACTGGTACCCTACCCGGGGTCTTAGTTGAACTTGGGAAAGAAGTAGGGGAGGTGTCCTGGAATCACTTTTGTTTGAGCCGAAATGTGATGCACATAACTGGAGTTTTCTCTTATAATAATACTGATTGTATATATGTTTATTATTAAGAAAAAAAAATTCCACAGAAAGCCTGGCCTTCTCAGCACAAGTTTAAGACACGCCCCAGCCGGTGATGGCTCCCTGCTCCTGTCCTAGTTCATCCACCCTCCTTTTCACATTTATCTTTGTTACAAAGGGAAAAATAAAAGAGATGAGAGGGCCTGGATCTTTTCAATTTTTAAGTGACCACAGAGGGCCTGGCTGGAGCTGTGGGCAGTTTTATTTTTGGCTAGGTCTTTTTTTATCACAGGCAAGGACCTGGGCCCATGAAGGGTAAAGGTGGCTCTGATGAGGGCTTCAAGGCAAACTTTGGGACTGACTCCAGGCCTTGCTCTCTGAGCTCATCTGGAAAGCGCTGGGATCTAAAGGAATCCACTGGGTTTCCCTTATGTTAACTCATGACTGAGTTGGATTAGGAAGAGGCTGGCCTCATCCTTTACAATTTTCAAGGGTACCGTTAGCATCCAGAGATAAGGCTTGAGAGGAGTACCGGGCCCTGGCTCTGGCACCTGCTTGCTGTGTGATCTTGGACAAACAACTTCACTTCTCTGTGCTTCAGTTTATCCGCCTGCCAGATGAAAGGTTCAATGGTGAGATTGGCCTCAGCGGGTCTAGGGGAGAATTAAAGAAAGCGATGAGCACAGAGCACGGTCTAGCACGTGGTTAAGTGCCTAGACAACATTAGTCTTCGTTATTTTTATCAAATAGATTGCTCTCTGTTGTGAGTCTTATGACACCTGGTGGGATACAGAAGGCTGGCAGCCTCCCTTACATACATGTACTTTCTTTTAAACAACGGCTCCAGCGGAAACAGAAAAGGAGGTTAATCATAAAGGGAGATTTCTCAACAGAACCTCATTCTCTCCAAGCCTGACCTCTCCTCATGTTCTAAGGAGGAATCAGCGACATGCCGCCCACTGGCTGAGAGGTGGGTTGGGAGCATCTGACAACATCTCAACAGGCACCTGTACCCTGAAATTAAGTTTTTACAGCGGTTGTGCATTTTTCTTCTTCAATCAGCAGAAAAGCCCGCTTCTCCTCGGCCTCCTGGGATGGAAGTACCATCTTGTGAAAGTTCCTTTCCTAAGCACGCGCCGTCTTTAATGTCACCCCACGGTCCCAGAGTTTTCCACTCAGAAACGAGCCAAAACGTGGGTCTGAGCAGATTTCTCCTCCTGGAATTCACCCACTCTGCCCTATTTTTCTCTTCATGATAATTGATGCTATTTTTTTACCTACTCCTCTAATGTCTGAGCATAGGCCTCTTCGACATCCTTATGTCTCTGATGACTTTTTTTTTTAAAGCAAATTTAGCCTTTTCAGAACAAGCCATCCAAATCATTTTATTTTCTAAAATTCCTTTCAGATAATTTTTTTTTTGCATTTAGAAAATTAGATCTGCCCTGTATAAATATGTCTGACATTTCACCTTTCCCAAAATTAGACCATTTTGTTTGCATCCTTTAAGCTGCTGTGTGGAGTAATGAACACATTCCAAGAGCGAAATCGGACTTGACGCAGAAAATACTTTGGGGAGGCAGTGGATTTCCAGTGGTGTGTGAAGACTGTTGAAGTCCGTGTGCATTTGCTCTGAAGGACACAGGGCAGCCCATCTCACTTTTCCCACCCAGCATGAGAGCCACGTAGTAAGCATGGTTCACAGGTTAATACCAGATGACTTCCCAAAAGGTGGTCACTTGTCACATTTCATTCCCCCATGTTCCCTGAGATGAAACTTTGTTGTGCTGAAGACCTTAGACTTGGAGATGATGTTTTGAAAGAAGGTCTGAGGCTCTCCCTGTTGCCTTCCTCCCGTTGTTTAAAATATTGCCTCGAGGCACCAGTATAAATATTAAAACTTTAATTAAAGAATTAACAGTGAGGGAACTTCAACAGGAGGGGGTACCCCGCACCTTCAGATGACTTCAACAGAGAACGTGGTCAGACTAGGTTGTTGGGGCTGGAGGTTCTTAATGAAAATGTTGTTCAGTTGCTGAGTCACGTCCGACTCTTTGTGACCCCATGGAGCGCAGCACTCCAGTGAAGGATAGTGTCCTTCACTATCTTCCGGAGTTCACGCAAACTCATGTCCATTGAGTTGGCGATGTCCTCCAACCATCTCATCCTGTGTCACCGCCTTCTTCTCCTGCACTCAATCTTTCCCAGTGACCCATGGATTTATAAGGAGAGACCACCATGCTCATGTTTTACATCTGGGGTTGCTCTGAGCACCGTCATTATTGTTGGTCTGTCATTGGTTGCCAGACACAACAGATGTGGGTGACGTGTGCTTACTACTGCGGATGGGTGTGTCTGTATTGGGGGAAGGAGTACCTTACATAATCAATGTTTATCCAGAACATACCACATGTTAGGTGTTCTGCTCAGGGAACAGGGCCAATGAAAACCTTGCCCTCATGGAGCTTCTTTGGTTCTGGGGAGAGCCAGACAGTAAGCAAGGGATGGAAATACATTTTTATGAGAATAAGGGCAAGTGTTACAAAAATTATGATGTGACGGTATGATTAAGAGTGACTTGGAAGGGCTTTCCAAGGAGGAAAGATTTGAGCTGAGATCTAGGTGAAAAGCAATAGTTGATATGTTGTGGTTGTTCAGTCAGTAAGTCGTGTCTGACTCTTTGTGAGCCCATGGACTGCAGCACGCCAGGCTTCCCTGTTCATCATCTCCCAGAGTTTGCTCAAACTCACGTCCATTGAGTCAGTGATGCCATGCAACTATATCATCCTCTGTTGCCCCCTTCTCCTCCTGCCCTCAATCTTTCCCAGCATCAGGGTCTTTTCCAAGGAGTCAGCTCTTCGCATCAGGTGGCCAAAGTATTGGAGTTTCAGCATCAGTCCTTCCAGTGAATACTCAGGATTGGTTTCCTTTAGGATTGACTGGTTTGACCTCCTTGCTGTCCAAGGGACTCTCAAGAGTCTTCTCTAGCACCACAGTTCGAAAGCATCAGTTCTTTGGGGTGCTCAGCTTTCTTTACGGTCCAGTTGTCACATCCATACATGACTACAGGAAAAACCAGTTGCTATGGATCAAGTATTTATTGAGAACCTACTGTGTGCCAAGCACTATTCCAAGCACTTGACATGCACAGTGCTCAGATGGAGCATTCCTTCTAGAGTGAAGAGCATTTTAGAAAGAGGGAATGGCAAGTGCAAAGGCCCTGAGGCTGAAACGGACACAACTATATTGGTGAAGTTGGGTCACAGAGGCTCCTGAGACCTGATGAGGACTTTGGCTTTTGTTCCAATTAAGCCATAGGCAGGGCTTTTTTTTTTCTTGTTGTTGTTCTTGTTGTTGTTATATATGTGGCTGTGCTGGGTCTTAGTTGTGACACGTGGGATCCAGCTCCCTGACCAGGGCTTGAACCTGAGCCCCTTGCATTGGGAGCACGGAGTCTTAGCCACTGGACCACCAGGGAAGTCCCCCATTGGGAGATTTAATGCAGCGACATGCCATGGTACATTTGTGGCTTGCATGTTGTAGGAAACACTGTCAGATATTTTTCAGGACAGTGAACAAAGAAGTGTGCCTTCTTGGCCAGCCAGCTTTTGTCTCAAAGTTCCGATTCATCTCCTTACCTGAATTCAGTCTGTGGCCTTCCCAGCACTGATGGGTAAGTCCTACAGCATCTAAGAAATTAACCCCCCCTGCCCCCCATCCTCCTTTTGGGGCTTAGAACAAAGTCTTCCATGCAAGATGGGGGATTCGTTTATAGGGAAAAAGAATCTCAGGTTTCTCAGTGATATCCATTGTGTGTGGCTGGTCCACTGGGGGTGTCTCTTGCATTATCTTCCTAGCTTTCTCCCTAGGTGGCCCTTCAAAGAAGCAGCATCCTGTCTCCCACCCCAGCACCCACACACACTTGTCCCAGTGGCTTGGCTAGCATCTCTCCTGCACACAGATCCCTGTTTTTGATCATGAATTCCGGAAGGTTCCTTTTCAGAGTATGGTGATGTTTTTCTCCCATGAGTGGGTGTGATCATGGATTTTGACAGGAAGACGAGAATAGCTTCCGGAAAGCTCTGAGTCCCCCTCTCATTGCCCGTCTCTGGAGGCTCTGCCAGCCTTCGTGTTACTGCATGTGTACTCTTTGCCACCCTATGGGCTGTAGCCCGCCAGGCTCCTCTGTCCATGGGATTCTCCAGGCAAGAATACTGGACTGGGTTGCCATTTCCTCCTCCAGGGAATCTTTCTGACACAGGGATTGAACCCGCATCTCTTGCGTCTCCTGAATTGGCAGGCAGATTCTTTAGCAACTGCATCACCTGGGAAGCTCTGCTAGCCTTGGAAGATGGTAATAAGGTTTTGCTGGAGCGTTTGGACGTCTAGACAGTTCCACTTTCTTCTTACATTTGACCCCTCAAACCTGTCTCTCTTTATCTGCAAGCCTGGGACTCTGTCAGTGCCTGTTAGAGCAGCTGTGATGATAATATAGTTTATGTGTCTTGAACACCTTCTGTACAATAGGAGCTCTGCCGAGCACTCTGCCTGCGTGGCCGTGTGTTGAGCTGTGTTTTCCTGTCATGTGATCACCTTCCTCCTGTGCTCGGTCCCAGGACTCACCTTGTTCACTCCCCACTAATCCTTCAGGTCACAACTCAAGTGTCTCTTGCTTAGGGAGACCCTGTCTTTCCCCGTGTGGATTCGCTTCCTTGTCGGCTTTGGATGTACTGGACTGGCTCTGTTTACTGTCTTTCTTTTACTCCACTGGAAGGTGAAGTCTGTTGGGCTGTGCATGCACCTGGCTCAGGCATCCTGGTATCCCCAGCATCTAGCAGGGCGCTCAGCACAAAGCAGTACTGGATATGGGGATGATGTGTGTGTGCATGCTCAGTCGTGTCTGACTCTTTGTGACCCCAAGGACTGTAGCCCACCGCCAGGCTCCTCGGTCCATGGGATTCTTCAGGCAAGAGTACTGGAGAGGGTTGCCATCTCCTTCTCCAGTCAGGATGATGGGTGATCCCGTTGGATCCTTTTATGCCCCCATTTTGCAGATAGACGGTGAGGTGTATGTGGTTTAGAGATTGTGTCTCAGGGCCCCACAGCAGGTAAGTGGCCCACTCAGGATTTTTCACCTAATGGTCTCAATCCATAGCCTGTGGATCCATCCGTCCCTGTGTGCACACTGCCTATTTTGTTTCTGCTTTGTCATATGCGTGCAATGTGTTCAGGCAGTCCGAGCCTGGGTTGGAAAAGAATTTCCAGACACAGAGCATTTAAGAAGGGAGGGAGTTTATTTAGAACAAAAGGCAGAGATAATGTGGGCAGTGTGAGCGTAGTGGACCAGGGAGAGTCGACAATTTTCGTGGGTTAGTAGCCAATTTTTGTGGCCCCGAGACAGAATTCCTGCTGGAAGGTTGGTATTAGGTGATTGGTTGGGGGTGCTCTAGAGTGTTTACTGGAGTGGGCAATCTTGGCCTAATTTGAAGTCAGGAAGCCTGGTAGTGATGATCGGGGGCCTTTTGGCAACAGGTGCAAGGGGGCTCAGTCAGTTTTGGAAGTGACCTCGGTTCTCAGCGCCACTTCTGTGGTCTTGGTACAAGCCTCGCAATGTGGCCTTGGGGCAGGGCTCAACACGGTGGAGGGGCCCTTGCTGCTCAGCTCGGTGATGCCGAGTCTGCCAGGGGCCCGGAAAGAAGGCAGGCACCTGCTTCTGTCGCCGCAGTGTGTTATCCGTGCGTATGAGCGGCCTGCACTGGCGTCTCCGCTGGTGTAGCCTGGCTCTTGTTTGTCCTCTCTCTCCTCGGAGCCCTTGGGCCCTGTCTCTGGGCTCACGCCCCGAGCTGGTTTTGGAGAGAGTACAGAGACCACCCGTCTGGCTGCAGGCAGCTTCAGGGCATCGCCCCCTCCAGCTTGCACTGCCCTGATATCACTCCCAGTGCAGTGTGCACACCCTGGCTCACTCTGTTGAAGCGTCACCGGCTGAATCAGCTCCTCTTTCATTTTTCCTGAGAGCAAAATTAGACCTTTGCCTGCATGCTAGATCAACTTTTGCCATCACCTTGCTTTTCATTGGGTTTGTCTTTCCTCAGGATGTTCCTTTCCTGTCAGTCTTTGAATGGGGACTCAGAGATGGGAATATGGATGTAAATTTTCAAATTTTTTTTTTTAATCATCCCCAGTTCTCTAAGAGCTATCATTTGTAGGAAGCTCTTTCCATTCCCCTGGGCACAGGGAAGAGTGCTTTGCACACATTGTTGTGTTAACTCTTTGCCACAAACTTTATTATCCCCATTTTACAGGCAGGAGTACTGAGACCCAAAGACTAAGTTGCAGACTTGAGCAGCTTCTTCCACAGGCCTGGCCTCTTCTCTTCTGCTCAGCACCGAGAGGCATGCTGGGTGTCCACAGGCCTCGCAGAGGGACCTTGATGAGACACTTGGAGGAAGGACTTTAGACAAGCTTTAGTCAAGCGCCTGGCACACACAGGTTACGTTCACCAACGGTGCTGGCTCTGATAATAGTGACAGTTACTATTACCATTTAATAATAATTATGTCATGATTGTTGTCATTGCTACTAGAATTTCGCAGTCCCTCAAGGCAGTGAAATGGCCCCAGAATGTGATTCTTGTATTTTCCTCTTGGCTGTAACCAAGATGATACATTGAGAGGGAAGCCAGCAGGACCCAGCGTGGCTGCAAGGGTGTCGCTGGGGGAGCTGACAGACCTGGGTGTCTGTCTGGAGTTCCGCTTGCGGAGGACTGCTGACAGCGGCCATATGCACGGGCTCTGATTGATTGGCAGAGAGAAGCACTAATATATTAGACTCGTGATGAAAAGTGACAGAGCATGGGATCAAGAAGCTGATTCAGCATGAACAGCCCTGCCCAGGGCCCGGTGGCGCCGCTGGGTGTTTCCCGTGGGACAAGCCCTCCACCCCAACCCTGGGGTCCTTGCTGGAGTTCTGGAGTGAGTCTGTTGCTCACAGACTTGGAGGAGGAAATGCAACCCGCTCGGGTATTCTTGCCTGAAGAATTCCATGGACAGAGGAGCCTTGTGGCTGTAGTCCGTGGGGTCGCCAACAGTTGCAGACGACGGAGCAAGTAGCACTAGAGAATGAGCTTGTGGTCCCTGAAGGGGAGCGGGGGACGGGGATGGCCAAGGAGCTTGGGAGGGACACAGTGCTGTGTTTAAAACGGATAACCAACAAGGACCTTCTGCATAGTTCATGGAACTCTGCTCAACCTTATATGGCAGCCTGGATGGGAGGGGAGTCTGGGGAGAAGGGATACATGTATATTGATGGCTGAGTCCCTTTCCCTCACCTGAAACTATCAGAATATTGTTAATTTGCTAAGAAAAAAGTAAGTGAAAGTGTTAGTTGCTCAGTTGTGTCCTACTCTGGGACCCCAGGGACTGTAGCTCGCCAGGCTCCTCTGTCCATGGAATTCTCCAGACAAGAATACTGCAGTGGGGTGCCATTCCCTTCTCCAGGGTATCTTCCTGACCCAGGGATCGAACCCGGGTCTCCCGTGTTTCAGGCAGATTCTTTACCATCTGAGCCACCAAGGAAGCCCGAATCTGCTATACCCCAATACAAAATAAAATGTTTTAAAACATGAAGTGAGTCTGTTAAAGGATGCCCTGTGTCTGATGCTCCTTCTTGGGTCTTTCTGAGGGGAAGGCTGGCCTGTGGAATGACTCACTGTCAGGGCACCCATTGTGAAAACCACATCTTTTCCTGGGGCAGCCTTAGAAAGCTGGGTCCGAGTCAGGTTGCTGCTGATTGCAAAGGCTGATAAAGAGAAGGGAGGTTGCACACACAGAAATTCCCGGAAGGGAGGAAGATATTCTCATTTGCAAATATTGGGAAATTTTTGGAATTGCCTAGGGGAGAATATAGAGGAGAATTGACACCCCTCTTTAGAACATGAGGCTCTTGATTGTGAGGGAGTTTCTTGCTTCTAATTTGGGACATTTGGTCAGTCTGAATTGTTGCAGGTAAGATGCTGGCTAGATAAGGAGAAAAAAACCTTGCCTTTCAAAATGATGGTGCACTGACCTAAGCTAACGGAGATATTTTGGAGTCAGAGAAGCTTGGAGAAGACCAAACTCTGAGAACCAAGGTATGGCAGGACACGGGTCTTGGATCCACGCATACCCAACTTTTGAGTCCAGACTCTGCACCTTCTAGCGGTGTGACCTTGGGCAAGTTACTGAACCTCTCTGAGCCCCTCTTTCCCTGTTGACTAAAGGACATATGATTCTGCCTGTCTCACTGAAGGCTGATGCTCCTGAGTGAGGTAAGCTGAGAGCTAACACAGATTTCTGAGAATATTCCCTCCTCATTCATTTCTTTACCTTGTAATATACAGACAAGAACTTTTCACTCCAAGGTTCTTTGATACAGGCATTTCTGGAGTTAATGTGCCTGTGGTTCTTAGAAAGATCCTTTGTTTTCTGGTGAATTTTTGTGTTACAAATGAAACTTGCATAGGTTTAGTCTGTGTGAACTTTCAGTAACCTGGGAAGGTGCATAATGAGGACAAAGAATTGTTGCTGACCACTCCACAAATTCAGTTTTCCTGATTGGTGCTTTGGTGCTTATCTTGAGAGATACTATAAGAAAGCCAATTGATGTCATATTTTGAAAAAAAAAATAGCCTGGTGGTTCAGACGATAAAAGAATTTGCTGCAGTGTAGGAGACGTGTGTTTTGATCCCTGTGTCGGGAAGCTCCGCTGGAGAATGGAATGGCAACCCACTCCAGTATTCTTGCCTGGAGAATTACACAGACAGAGAAGCCTGGTGGGCTACAGTCCATGGGGTTGCAGAGAGTTGGACACGACACGGCTGAATGACGAACACTTCATACTCAAGGAGGAAGAATAGACAGATCACTTAGACCGAAGTTTAAGAGTGGATACAGCTGAGTCTAACACTCAAAGGCAAAGAACAAAATAGTATTGAAAACAAATGAAGGGAACCAAGAAAGGTAATAGGCCATAAAAAATTCACACTTCCTGCTGACATTTGCTGTGCTGACTATCACTGTGTTATCTCTGGTTTCAGGATCAGAAAAAAGTTTTATTCTGGAGATACTGTTTGGTAATTTATGTACCAGACATTCTAAGTGGAACAAATGATTGTGTTCCCTTTTCACAAAGCCTGACAGGAGGCTCAGAGCAGATTTTACAGTCTGGTCTTAACAGTATCTAGGATCTGCTGGCATAGTTTTTACACATTAACTGTGGACTCGGTTTTACTTCTCTGCCTTCAATTTTCACCTTTTATTGTAATTTATGTTGCATGTTTTGTTTCTTTTTTAGAAAGAATTATCTTTGCAGGATACCTAAGATAAAAATACATAAGGTAGGTGGCAGCTGGGTGGTGCAAATGAATAAGCTGTATCCTTTAAAGCACCAGGAATTCCTGGAAAACAGGACTATATAGATCAGTGCCAGGTCTCCTGAGCTAGACACGGGGTAAAGGAGAGTCATTTTGAATCCCAGCGCTGCAAACGGACACTCTTCTTTTCTCTCATTTTTTTTTTTTTTCTGAAACAATTTTTCCCCTGGAGCATTGTTTATGACACGCAGAGTCGCTTTTCTGGGGTCACTCATTGCCTTTCTCGTGTGATCGGTAAACATTTCAGACCCCATGTCAAGTGCTGAGTAAGGCTCTGTTATATTCAGATGATATATTGACCGGGGAGCAAACCCAACAAGATCTCTGCCTCCTGAAGCTTATTTTCTAGTGGGAGAGATCAACACCAACCCTGAAGACAACTAAAAGGACCGTGTAATTATCTGTTCTAATATCGATCTAATGAAGATGGGAGCAAACCAGGGCACTGATGCGCTGAAAAGGTGAAGAGCCATGTAGGTCAGAGGGTGTGGGAAGTTCTGTCCAAAGGGGAGGCTTTCGGGTGGCATTTAAGCTGAGATCTGGAGGATGGCATGGATGGACCGAGTTCTGCCAGGAGGGAGGAGCATGGTCCCCGGGGGCTCAGTGTGTGTGAGAGCCCCCGGGGGGAAGGGGCGCCCTCTCTGTCTGTCGGGAACACTGGGTGCTGGCCCCAGAGCCTGGAGCAAGTGAGCTGATGTGTCTGGAGGAGTTGCAGAGGCCACGGCAGGCCGGCTGCCTGTTCTGGGGACCCCGGGCTCTTTCTTTCTGGAGTGGATGAGGTTCTCTCTGGAACCGCTAGCCATGGATGTGCTGCTGGTTAGGGCGCAGCTCTCAGGGTGAGGCGGTAGTGGCTGGGAGCCCCTGCGGGGCAAGCGCCGAGTGCGCACTTGTGCGCCTGGCGACTGCGCGTGTGTCCGGGGGTGAGTGTGCACGGGTGCATGTGGGCGCGCATGCTGCGTGCCTGTGATTGTGCGTTGGTGCGTGTGAAGGTGCCCGGCTGCGTGGCGATGCACGTGTGATCCGGGAGGAAGAGAGGGCGTGGAGGGTGACCGGATGGTCCTGTGATGGGCTCTGACTCCAGAACCTGCTAGAGTGAGGGGTGGGGCTGCTGGGCCTTCTCTGATTTCGTGTCCAGGGTATCCCTCTGTTTAGCCCGCATCCCCCTCCTCCAGCCCTCCTTGGGTTTTGTGGGTACAGTCGGTGAGTGACCACGTCTCAGGAGGTGGAGCCAGACCCCTCTCTGTGGACACACCTTCACTCACAACGTCTGTAAAGAGTGAACACAATCCCCTCCTTCCCCGAGAGCGCCCTTAGCTGCCGCTTCATTGGCTCCAGGCTGCCGTCAGAGGTTTAAAAATAACTGGGAGCCGCTTTTGAGACTTCAGCATTTTGGAATCCTTTTTTCCGGAGCCTTTTATTCTCACAGCAGCTCCTTTGCCTCTTGCCTTGAATCCCCTCTCCTTTTCACGTGAGGTTTTGATTTTGCTGCCTCCCAGGCCCGAAATCCCTCCTTGTGAGTCTTAGAGGCATCCTTTTCCTGTTCCTTGTTCTTCGGGTATAGGTAGAGGGTGGTTACCCCGTGTCTGTCCTGTAT